GAATCAGTTTTGTTGTGTGTTTCCTTGACTGATGAAGCCTTCCGGATTGAAGGCAAAACGTTTCAGCATAAAAAAATAACCTGTCCAGATGACCTGACTGAAAAATTTTGTATTTTATACCTGGATTATTGAGCACGGACTTAGTTGTTTTCAACACATTCAAATATTTATCAATTTGCTTTCTTCCAGTTTCCTGGAATTCATTCAACTTTTATTTAGTCTCATTGATTCACGAGGACTCATTTACAAGAGAGACCTGTTTAGACAGACAACAATGTACAACAATAAAAAGCAATTAAATTAGAAAGTAGTGTTATAATAACAATAAAATCATGGTGCCATAAGGTAAAATAATTAAAACAAGAACATATTTGATTAGATTTTTCTAATGACTTAGGTCGTTTTCACACCAGATATTCCGGTAGACTCTGTTCAGTTCGTGACCAATATTCATGACCTTTTGTTTACATTTGAGCTGGTGCGTTTGCATTCACACTGCACTGTGCAGTCGAGTCAACCTGTTGAACAAACCTGTTCCCCCACTCGCCTGTAGGGGCGCTGCACGTAGAACTATTGAAAGAAACAACACAAAAACCTCTGAAGACACGTCTTCTTCTTCTTCTGTAAATAAAAATAAAAACGAAGTGGCATCAAGTTTTAGCAGTTTTAGGAGTTATATTTTGTCATTTTTCAAAAATGGACTTAGCATGAGCAGAAGATGAGACAGAAGACCATGGAGAATATTGTTTTTCCACACAAGGCAGCTGACGGCTCCATATAAGGTCAGACAAATGTGTGTTTGTTTACCCTGTGGAGCAGGGCCCGGTCTGTTTACATTCACACCGTACTCGAACCGCGCTGGAGTTCGCTTCTACCGGACCGAGACCTAGGTTTTAGCCCGGGCCAGAGTTCGCCTTTTTGTTCCGTGACAGAGTTCGATGGTGCGTTCACACCTCCCTAAACGAACCGGACATTCTAGGAAAACGAGCTAGAGTTCAATTAAAGCGGACTAAACAGGGCTGGTGTGAATGCACCCTTAATGACTACAGAAATTGCCGTTCTATAAAGTACACCCGAATATAAGATATATACACACACATATATATATATATATATATATATATATATATATATATATATACATATTCATACATATATACACATATATACATATACATATATGTATATGTATATATGTATATGTACAAAGCGGATTCCAAAAAAGTTGGGACACTAAACAAATTGTGAATAAAAACTGAATGCAATGATGTGGTGGTGCCAACATCTAATATTTTATTCAGAATAGAACACAAATCACAAATCAAACGTTTAAACTGAGAGAACGTATCGTTTTAAGGGAAAAATCTGTTGTTTCCAAATTTCATGGTGTCAACAAATTCCAAAAAAGTTGGGACAAGTCCATTTTTACCACTGTGTGGCATCCCCCCTTCTTCTTACAACACTCAACAGACGTCTGGGGACAGAGGAGACCAGTTTCTCAAGTTTAGAAATAGGAATGCTTTCCCATTCATGTCTAATACAGGCCTCTAACTTCAATTGTCTTGGGCCTTCTTTGTCGCACCTTCCTCTTTATGATGCGCCAAATGTTCTCTATAGGTGAAAGATCTGGACTGCAGGCTGGCCATTTCAGTACCCGGATCCTTCTCTTGCGTAGCCATGATGTTGTGATTGCTGCAGAATGTGGTCTGGCATTATCATGTTGAAAAATGCAGGGTCTTCCCTGAAAGAGATGATGTCTAGATGGGAGCATATGTTGTTCTAGAACCTGAACATAGTTCTCTGCATTAATGGTGCCTTTCCAGACATGCAAGTTGCCCATGCCACAAGCGCTCATGCAACCCCATACCATCAGTGATGCAGGCTTCTGAATGGAGCGTTGATAACAACTTGGGCTATCCTTGTCCTCTCTGGTCTGGATGACATGGCGTCCCAGTGTTCCATAAAGAACTTCAAACCGTGACCCATCTGACCAGAGAACAGTCTTCCATTTTGCCACACTCCATTTTAAATGACCCCTGGCCCAGTGCAAACGTCTGAGCTTGTGGAGCTTGCTTAGAAATGGCTTCCTCTTTGCACTGTAGACTTTCAGCTGGCAACGGCGGATGGCATGGTGGATTGTGTTCACTGACAATGCTTTCTGGAAGTTTTCCTGAGCCCATTCTGTTATTTCCTTGACAGTGGCATTCCTGTTTGAGGTGCAGTGACGTTTAAGGGCCCGGAAATTATGAGCATCCAGTAGAGTTTTACAGCCTTGACCCTTACGCACAGCGATTGTTCCAGATTCTCTGAATCTTTTGATGATGTTATGCACGGTTGATGATGATAACTTAAAAGTCTTTGCTATTTTACGCTGGGTAACACAATTCTGGTATTGCTGCACTATCTTTCTGCGCAACAATGGTGGAATTGATGATCCTCTTACCAGCTTGGCTTCTGAGAGACACTGACACTCTGAGAAGCTCTTTTTATACCCAATCATGTTGTCAATTGACCTAATTAGTGTTAATTGGTCTTCCAGCTGTTCGTTATATGCTTAATTTCCTTTTGCCAGCCACTTATTGCTACTTGTCCCAACTTTTTTGGGATTTGTTGACACTATGAAATTTTGAATCAACATATTTTTCCTTTAAAATGTTGCATTTACTCAGATTAAACTTTTGATCTTTCATCTATGTTATAATACGAATAAAAGATTGACATTTGCCATCTCCACATCATTGCATTCAGTTTTTATTCACAATATGTTTAGTGTCCCAACTTTTATGTATATGTGCTGTTGGTCATAATGTTCAGTCTTTCATTGATTATGTCAGACATTAAAAGCATAAATTCATAACTATAAATCATCTAGTTTGTTACTGTAAATCACACAGGGTTGCTGCCTGTCATATGCTTTTTTGCACTGCAAAACCTCAAATTTACCTAATTTATAGGCAGCAGTTGTGCTGTGACTAGTTTTATTTACAGACACAAAGATTACTCAGAGAAAGTTATAAATTGGATAAACCTTAAACTTTTTCTCCAAGTCTAAATCTGCTTTACTGTGGCTTCGTTGCTTGAGAGTGCTGCATTCCTTTTCTTAACTGCAAGATGCTCTCAGATCGCCAGGGATGATACTGCAGACTCTTCTTGATGAACAGTCTTTGTGTTTTTAGGATGTTTTTGTCTCCAAACCCTATGTTGTCATTTTCACCACTTTTTTTGTCTGTCCGAACAGGTCTCACTTGTAAAAGTGTTTTTGTGGCTCAATGTGATTTATCTGTTTAAATAAAGGTTGAATGAATGAATGCTTTAAAAGTCACTAGATTTTCTCAACACTGAAGGTCTCTAAGAGTAGCTAAATCTAGTGACACATTCACCATTTTTTCCTTTTATATGGTTTAATTTTACACTTTTTGCTGTTGTTGGTTGTAACAGGGACCCTGTGTAGAAAATTTTGTTTCATCTCGTGTACCACGTGTGGTAAGAATCACAATAAACCTACTTGAACCATATCTGTATCTCTGCTTCAAGCACGAGTGGTGAGAGGGCTATTTTGATTTAATTCAATTCAATTCAGTTTATTTCTATAGCTCCAAGTCATAACAGAAGTTGTCTCAGGGCACTGTACAAAAACTTTCACATGCATAAAAAAGCCAATTAGTAAATGTTATCTAGCTAAGG